CTAGTGTGTCAAATGTCACACTTGGTACCCAACCCTTGTCCCTTTTTTTCTTAATCTTTTTGCACTTTCTTCGATGGCAAAATACACATTTGTGTCCTTCCTTTTCTATTTTATGAACACTTTTGTACCTAACCTTTACATTCATTTAGGTCTATGATTGCTATTTTTCTTCTTGCAATGCAATCCCTCAACTTTCACAAAATTTTTGTTTAAGTCCCAAAATTTATATTTTTTTTGGCATTCAAGTTTTTCTGCTAAACATATAATGAAAATTATATAAAAACCAAGAAAGCAAAAATGAGGTGCTGAACTTGTAGGAATTGGTAAACAAGCATGAGAATAACCAATAACTTGCTATTCATTCTGCTCTTAAAATACATAAAAAAGATAGGAAAAACCAGTTTACATAACAAAAAAGACTATTAAACAATAATATAGTTTACAAAAACTAACGCAATGGACCATATAGACTGGCCAAAACTTATCTGCCATTAAAATATATCATATGAATTATTTGAAACAAAAGATTTGTTTAATAAACTATATTAAATTTTTTCACAAGGCGAAAATGGTATTTTAACCTATATATTTTTTGACTTACTTAAAATTCACCATTTTTTATGTACTTTAATGTTGAAATAAATCAATTCATATAATTTTTTTATTAAAATATAGGAGTAATGGGTTTTGATCTCAAATTCTCCTTGGTAGTACTGGCTTTGTTGTTTGAAAAATTTGTGAGTTGATTTATTTTAACATGAAAATTTATGAGTTGAAATATTTCAAAAAAAAAGTAGAAGGCTGGGTTTTAAGTAATTTGAAAAGTAATGGGTTAAAATACCTTTTTTTGCATTTTCAAAACTATATTAACAAACAAACAATACCAACAATCTGTTGGTTCAAATGAAAGGAGTTGTGTTTTCTTTAAGTAATATTTTGAGTTTAAATCTTGTACATGAAAAAACAAGTGCTAAAAGAGTTTCCCTTTTATAAGGTCTAATATAACTCGATTCTAAATTAATGAATATTCAATGTAATTTCTGAATATCAAGAAATTATTAAAAAAAATAACAATTTTAAGAGAGAATAATGCTTCAAGGACTAAGAGGACCCTAAGCCGATGGAGACCGAATGGACGTGGCATCTCCAAGTCTGTTAGTTTACTGTTTTTACTTTATGATTAAATTTATAAAATGATCCCCACACTTAATGTTTAAATTTATTTTCATCCTTCAACTTTTTAAATTATTTTTTAATTTTCACACTTTATTTAAGATTTAATTTAGAGTTTAATATTTAAGGTTTATGGTTTATTATTTTTAGAATTTAGGGTTTAGTATTTAAAGTTTAGGATTTAGTATTTAAGGGTTAAGTTTTGTATTTTTAGAATTTAAGGTGTAGGGTTTATATTGTTAGAGTTTTTGAGATTTAGTATTTAGGATTAGAGTTAGGGTTGGGGGTTTAATATTTAATTTTTAAGGTTTAGTATTTAGGATTTTAGGGTTAGGGTTTAGGATTTACCATTTAAATTTTATAGTTTACTTTTATTGAAATTTAAGATTTAGAGTGCGTTTGAGATTGTTGTGAGAGATTGTGGTTGTAACTACTGTTGATGAGCTAATTTCATTTTAACAAGAATACTAATAAGTTCAAGTATGTTGACTCAATATACTCCAAGAGGGGGGGTGAATTGGAGTTTCAAAAATTCTCCCTCTTTTTCAACCACAAAACCCAAGTTAAAGAGAGTAGAGAAGAAGAGCTTGCACAATGAATTTATAGAGGTTCGGTCCAACCACTTGGAGCCTAATCCTCTATCTTGGCTTCACTCACCAAGGATTTCCTCCACACTCTCCACTAAGAAAGACAAGGGTGGCTTAAAGGAGCCACTCAATCCTTTTACAACAAGATGAGTATTTCTCTCAAACCTCACCCCTTTACAATGTAAACCCCACTAATCCTCTCAATAGATCATTCTTGAAGGAATCAACACACCCCCAAGATCACTCACTAATAACACAAGAAGAGGATTACAAGCAATGATCACTCAAAGATCAAAAACTCAAGTTAAAGCTCTAGTGGGTAGGTAAAGATATTCAATGCAATGTTCTCCAACTTTCTTCAGATCTGTTACCAACCATATTTATAGCCCTTTGCTCGAAAATAGCCGTCACTAGCCGTTGGGGGTCATTAAATGCTCTGCAGGACACAAAGCTCGAGCTGCAGAATTGTCAGGAGAGCCGGCTTAGATTCCTAGAGCCGGCTCTGTAGAGTCGACTTACACTTCCAGAGCCGGCTATTCGGGTTTGCAGCACATTCTGTTTTCCTCAAGAGCCGGCTGCAAGACTTTAAGCCGGCTTTGGAACTCCGACTTTAAATACATTAAATAATCTTCAAATAACTCGACCGTTGTGCATTAAATGCACCCTCACAGCCGGCTTCAAAGCCAGAGCCGGCTTTGCGTCTTTTCTCCGTGCGCGCCAAAGAACGGTCTTCAAATTTTTGCCTGTAGAGCCGGCTGCAGCTTCCAGAGCCAGCTCTCTGCACTTCCATACACCAGAGCCGGCTGCACTTTACCAGAGCCGGCTCTCTGCACATTGAATCCTTTTGGTCTATTTTTAATGCCATCCAAGTTTACTTGCAAT